GTTCGCGTTTTCGTTTCTCTGGATAATCGTTTTCCTCTGACTCCAGCTCTTCTTCCTCCTCCTGCTCCTCTGCCTCCTCCACCACCAACTTTTAGTGCCGCTCCTCCTGCTTCTTCCTCTTTTTCTTTAATAGTGCCAACGTCCTCGATATCTTATCGGTAGGGCAGGGTGGCGTGGCACAGGACCGGACCTTTTACAGGAAACGACGTTCGCTCCGCTATTTCTAGAGCGAGCGGGACAACCCGACCGATGCATGGTTGGCGTGCACCGGTCACCGAGCTGCCTCCGAGCGCAATTAATCAAGCTTTTAAGCGCTTTCTTGCGACGGCCTGGCAGCACCGATCCACAGAAACGAACCTCTTCGCAGGGAGCTTCTTCTTCTCTGCTGCCAGTCGAAATCCTGTGGCGCTTGTACGAAAAACACACGAAGAAGATAGCGGCAGGAACAGCCAGAGACTCTGAGATTCCCGGATGATTCTTTCGAGTCGACGATGAACGAATCGGATCGCGATCGTCCGCGAAAATCCACTAAATCGCGCACATTTATCTTCCTATTATTAATCAAATACACTGAGGTACAAATAATCGCCAAATCACACGGATCCTATACACATCTAAGTTAAAAGGGTCAATGGTAGGTTCGATATTCGAAGAATGGTATTAAAAGACGAAAGAGTCGTCTCTGGTCGCGAGAGGTCTTTAAATCTCGGATTTCTTGGCACGCGCGGTCCTCGGCAAAGTACCTTCGCTCCGAACGTCGAACAGAACATCCATCGTGGTTGCCTGTATTCTTTGTTCCGAGAAGGAATCGAAGCAGGGTCCGAACGAATCTCGCAGATGCTCTAAGAAAACGAAAGGAACAAAGCGTGGTCGATCGTTGGCCGAGGTTTCATGCCATCCCTCTTTCAAACGCAGAAAAAAGATCTCCTCTAGTTGGTACACGTTACGTCTATTCACGTTCTGGGGAAAAGTTTGTACATTGACCGGAGGCGAGAAGTTTCACGAGTAAATGCTTCTTCGTGACTCGATTTTTCGTTCCGCCTCAAAGGTGGAACATAATCAAAATTTTCATGCCTCGAGAAATCCCGTATACCTCTGCTCAATCCCTCCTTTCGCTGGCTCACCGCGAAGATATTTCTTTGATTTTCTTCCAACAGCTTGCAAATAGAAGAATCTCTTTCAACTTTTCGCCTCCCGAAGGTTCGACGATAAGTACACGTTCGTTACAGGCTGTCCAAGCGTTTCGTCCTCGGTAAGCACCAGCAGACCCGTGGCAGAATATTGCGCGTACTCGTCCTTCGATCGCAGTCACGGTACGTCCGCCGCGTAAACACTGAAATGCAACGTAGAAGCTAGTAGCCGGCGCGAAGAAGGTGGAACGCGAACGTTCGCCGTGTAGGTAGGACGAGGAGAGGAGATAGAAAGGATCGAGAGCCGCGATGCAGACGAGGAAGGGACAACAGGTAACTCGCGGCTGAAATCGGGAGGCGAACAAGCAGCAACGAAAGAGAGAGAAAGAGAGAAAAAAGAGAGAGGATCGAAGTCAGAGAGCCGGTCGTCGAACCGGTTTCCTCGCAAGAGATCGCAACGGGCCAATTGGAAATACCACTGACAATGAGTCCACTGGTCGGCCCCTTTACGATCTCTCAGCGCTCACCTGACGATCGAAAGAGTATGTTCGACGAGAGTCTAGATCCGGATAAAACGATGGCCCCATCGAGCGTCGATCCAGTTCTACCACTGGTTAACCGACCGATCGGGAATTTTATCGGTCCCATCGAGCAAACCACGATATCTAGACTCGCGATCGTGCCTCGTGAGTACCCAAGGTCACGAACCAACGAGACGCATCGCACGGACGACCATCACCGATTCGATCCTCCTTTTCCTCGATATCGAGCTGTGTCACGGAAACGTCATTGCCCTCGCGGCTCGTAGGATACGCGCAACGATGAAGATAACGTTCGAGCCGAGTCACGATGAAAATTGATAAAGAGACAAGGGAGACCAGCAAGACGGAACGATAGATAGAAACCGATACTATCCGGACAAGAATCGTACGACGCGCGGTTTAACAACTTCTTTTTCGATCGGCGACTGCTTTAAAATCTTTACGAGCACGAAGAAATTGCATTTTAATCGGGAACGTTCGTTTATCGCGGTGCAGCGTTAGGAAAGGGAATCGTCCAACGAACCGTTATTTCATTTCTGCATTTCGTTCCTCGTCTCGATTGTCCTCCAGTGGCTGTTCGATTCGTCGAACGAAGATACATTTTTTACAAGGTCCGTGAGGTTGGAATACGCGTGCCGTTTACATTTTTCCCAAGAGAACAAACAATCGAATCTACCAACATAGCTCACGCTGTCCAATTTTCGATTCCAAATAACACAGGCAACGTATAAATTTCCTCTCGCCTTTTTTCCCCGAATCATCTCTCTCGCGAAATAAGTCTTGACACGAAATATCGCGAATTGTTTCTGTGAAACGTATTGCCATTTGATTAATAAACATGATTGGTAACGCGATTGATATTCTATTGTCTTTCCGGAGAAATGAAAAAGAATGAAATAGGAACTCGCGGAAAACGTACACGTTTTGTCCTTGATATTCCATTCGCGGAATTCAGATCCAGACCGCGTGAATCGATCGATCGACTGGATCGCTGCGAATTCGCGTTAAGTGACGCGATTCGATCTATCGTGGCGTTACGGGGCAAACGTTTGTCGCGACGTTAAGTGAAAATCACCGAATCCGATTGATGTTCGCCGATCGAGAATCGTACAGGCTGTGAATGTTCGCCGCCTGCGTTCTGCCACGCAACAGTTTCGAGCGATTAAGCCCGGACGAGTCGCGCAGGGAAACGAATTCGAATCATTAATTTAACGGTTGAAAGGCCGAACAATGCGAAGCTCGGCGTTCACATTTTTAGCAGGCAGAAAATTACGCCGGAGAAAATGAACGGTACTTTCCGATGGGACGTATCAAAAAACGGAGAAGGGGGAACTTAAAAAAGAGAAAAAAAATAAAAAAATGGAGAGAAATGGAAAAGGGTTGTCTCTGGTTGTCATCGTGCAATTTTCTTCCAGCTCGTCTTCCTCTCTGTCCCTTTTTCTCACGCTCTCTTTCCCTCTCTTACAGACATAGAAAACATATTCAGAAGGGAAGCAGAATTTTCCATCGGATCGCGCGAACAATTTCGTCACGGAACGAAACGCAAACGCGTCTTCCGTCCGGCGTCTCCCCTGGAAAAATTCTTTCCCGCTGTATCTGCGTGGCTCTCGTACCTTCCAGTCCCCGTCCAGTTTCAGGCGCGAACACGCCGTGGTACGGAGGAATGGAACGGGATAGACGTTGAAGATTGTGAAACACACGCGGCCAACGAGGCTGTCAGGCGCGGGAGATCCTCTGCCCGTATTTTATTCCGCCTCTTCCTTCGTCCGATGCTACGTGGAGTAGCACGACATTAATTTCACGCGACACGCCAACGTCGTCTGACGACGATCACGCGTCGTCACGATCGCTACAATCACCGGTTGCGATTTCGAACCAACACGATGACATCGTGTGCCTCGAACCGACTGTGAACCGAGCAGACGCGCACGACGTTCCGTCAAGCACTCGCCGTCGCGTCGTGCGTGTGTCCGTCGATCGGTCGTCGGACGGACGACAGAGAGGCTAAGACAGCTGAGCGCCGCGACGCTGCACGTCCCACAGAATCACGATCCGCACTGGTACGCCATCGAGCGTTAGGGAAACTTCAGCAACCCTCCAACATCCTTCCCCCACTATTTCGACCCACCACCACAACCACCACCACCACTACCGGCTTCCACTACCACCATCGACAGCACCACCACCACCACCACCAGCACGAGGCACCAGCAGCTCGGTGTCGTTGCTACCAGCACCAGGCTAGGGCACCGACTATGAACGCAAGAACGTATACGAGACACAATACTCGTACCAGTAGCACCCGTTCGGTTCTCCAGCGACGGACTTTGCGCGCACGCTGCTATCAGAGCCTCTACGTCGTCGGTGTGCGCGAGCGCACCAGGTACCACTCACCCCTCACTGGCTTTCTCGATTTTATCCC